CGTTGTTTTTAAAAACGGACACTGAGGAGCTGTTCATGATATTGGACGGCAAAGTGTTCCATAGTGTGGGGGCAGCTACATAAAAAGATCTTGCACCGTACGTCTTCAAATTAAAATGAGGAATCCCAAGGAGATTTTTAGATGATGAACGCAGTTGACGAGCTGATTCGAAAAAAAGAGCAAAGCGGGTAGATACGTCTGCATAAATTGTGATTATCGACGCCACCTCTCCATGATGTTGTAATGGAACATTAGGCAAGCTACCAAATTAGCCACCAACAAATAAAAATAAAATACAAAGGTGCCAATCATCCCTTATCCAGCTAATTTATTTCCTCCTAATACTGAGAAAATTGAGTCACATTAGCAAAAGCTCGCTAACTTTATCAAGTGCTGCCAAAAGCAATAATGATTATAATAAAACTTGAAAAAAACGAAAAAGAACAAAATTACATCAGTGCAACGCGAAAAGTTAACGACCAAACAGTGCAGTCAAGAGCATCAGTGAGAACAGACCAATGCTGATGTCAAGAATGCCTGCACCTGCTGCTGTTGTTGAAGCTACGGTTGACGCAGGTTTGTCGAAACTGTTATAAACTTTGCGGTCATTGAGCTTCTGAACTGGACGGTAATTGTTAACCATCCGTGAACCGCTTGTGAACTCGAGCTTACGCAGATAGCCCATCTACAGACAAATAAAATTATGTTAATACTCATTGAATTTTGACCACTGCTAAAGATCTCCCTTTCTCCCCCGCCCCCCTGTTAAGTAGGAGCGTCGAAAAGAGAATTTCACTTTCATCTTCTCCCTCCCCCCCAAATGGGTAAACAGCCGTGAAAAAACAGCCGTCCACATGTAAACCAATGGCTTTTGGCATTGCTCATCATGCGATGAATTTATTTCTTATAAAAAGTTACGAACGAAGACCCGAAAAAAAGATCTTGAAAAGAGGTCTTTTCGTTTGGTTGTGTTCTTGAACCATACCTCACCTTGCATTTTTAGAGGGGGGGGGGGAAGTCAAAAGCAACACCAGTAAAGGAGGGAAGAGGGTTACAAACTACGACACATTTCTCGAGAGTTCAATAAATTACTGAATCGAATGTTCACAAATATTTACAAAGTTAAACACTGTCGTTCCACTTGGCGTCGCCACTCGTAGCGGTCAAAGAATCAAAATAAAATATCACACCTGAGTCTCTGATATTTTGACGCTGTGTTTGAAGACTGTCCAGGTGACGCTCTCATCACACGTGGGAGTAGTTAAAGATCCACTGTAACGGAAAAACTTGTCGCGTGTCTCTGGCAACATCGGTTCCAGCTTGAATGGCATAATAATAGTCTTATTCGATGCTGTGAGAATTAACATAAAAACTCGTTAGCCAAGTTGTAACGCGCACAAATCTCTCTGATTATCGTTTTCTGCGCAGCCAATTACAGGAAAGTTGTTGCTCTCTTCCAATGAACGTCTGCCTACCCAAACATTAGGAAACTACTGAACTCTTTACACCCTGACATCAGAGTGCATGTTCTCCTGGAGAATTTGTTCCACGATCAGGAACTCCTTTTGTTA